ATCGGTAACCGGTTGTTTGTTCCCGGCGTTCGAGCGGCCGACCCACGAACGACAAATCGAGCTGTTCGTGAACATACGAGAACAAGCCGCCCGAACTCAGCCATAGAGATTCGCGCGGTCGTTTTCCTCCTACAAGCTTAGAGCTACATACATCGCGCCGCGCTGCGAGACTGAGAATGACTACGCGTGCAGGAAGTCTGCAACATACGGATTGCTCCCTTGTCCAATTTCTTGCAGAAGCACAGCTGGGTTGATTTTTAAGTCTCATAACCCGTCCCCTTTTTACAACTTGATGAAAGGCTAACAAATCTAACTATGTATTTCATGCCACTAAATTCATCAGTCTAACAAAAAAATATTAACTTCTGTGTGGCAAAACGAGGGGGGGATTACCTGGAGGGGACGGAATAATTTACCTGGAGGGGGACAGATTCACGAGTCATGGGGGACACTTTTGCACAGGTCCGGACACTTTAACCGGGGGACAGATTTACCGTCTACACCGGAATAAATGAGTTACGCGTGCTCAGCGTGCTTCGCGTCAATTTAACGCGCATATACTTGCGTGCCTCAAGGCGGACGTGCCTATCCGGTTCGTAAGTGTGACGTCAGTCGGTTTAAACCACGCCCACTGCACATGCACTGCACTAGCACTGCACATAGCGTTACACCATAGACCTGAAGGAGTGTATTTTCTCCTTCAGGTCTATGGTTACGTACGTTGGCTGTTTTCCAATACTCAACTTCGTCTCCGTATGAGGCTTCTTTCTAAAAACCAATCCCCGATTGTGGGCCTGAAGCGTTTGAATTACATTGGATTACTGTAATTTTTGGCTTTCTTGCGTCTTATTTGATGTTCTGTGGCACTTTTAGACCGATTACTGCGCTTACAGCTTCAAAGTAAGCTAGTATAAAAACAGTTGAAGCCTGAGACGGAGCCGAAGTTGAGTATTGGAAAACGGTCAATGATTACTGATCGCAGTTTACATGGAATCGTGGAACCGGAAGTTAACACGCAACTTCAGCGCTCGTCCAATAGAAGCCTGCAAATTGTGGCGCGTCCGCTTTTGTGACGAAGTCACTCACGAACCAGATATAGACTGGATAGGACATCGCGTCCAAAACGCGTCCCGCGTATGTGTATTTTCAGCAGAACTTTGTTGCGTGTACTTTCAAATGGAGTTTTTCAAAAACCGGTTGAGGTTTTTGCGCTCCAATTGTCAGATTTCGAAGAAAAACTGAATTAGGCACTTAGAATGGATAAATCTGGAAAGAATAATGGTTGAGGTGTACGCAGCAGTTAATTCCCGGAGATCAACGTCAAGTTTGGAAGAAGGAACAGAAGGAAATGTGAGTCGCACTTTTTTAGTTTCAGAAAGTTTCTCAAGTTGTATTTTATAATGCTTAACTTTAAGCCTATATAGGCCTAGTGAGACTTATGACTGTCTGTGTAGCCTATCAGGCTTCGTAAATGAAACTTCACTATCTCGAAGTTGGGACCGTTTAAAATGTTACTCATTGGCAAAAGTGGTTTCATAAACTGAATGACTGATTTGTCGTTTATTCTTCCCTTCCCCAGATTTCACGGAAAAAATCTCCAAGACAGCCATGATTTGTGTTTGTCGGATCTAAAGACGCACTGAACCCAAATCGTGTGACAGACGATGTGATATGAGTGACAGAATTCTTCTTCAGGGCAGAGATGAAACCAAAGTGAGAAGCAGAGTACTGAAGTTTCTGTTGAATGAAGTCACAAACAAAGGGAAAAATTATTCGTTCTCAGTTAAAACTGCCTTTTTAATGCTGGAAAGCAGTTGTTAAATGTAAATCTTTAAGTCAGGTTGTGAACTCTACTTTTAAGCTGATTGATAGGTATCTGTTTTAAAAACTGCAGTAAGTTAGTTTGGTCACTCATTTAAAGCTGCGCTCACTTTGTACTCACAGAAAAGATTCTCACACTTCCGTATGCCGCATGTCGGTTTTCAATAAAATTAGTTAAGATATGAATGAATTTTATTTAATACAATTTTTCCTGAAAGTGTAAAATTAAAATTATTTTATCGATGATTTTATTTCAGTATTGGCTCATCGAAACAAGACGGAAAAATACATAGACAGTTTGGACATCATAATTATTTACTGACAAATCCTATTGCATGTCCTGGTGGAACTCTCAAAGTTTTACTCACTGAAGAAATCGCGATTGAACCAACCCAGTGTGAAAATATTGCTAAAGCGAGACCGTAGACAATAGGTGTAAAAAATGAATTTACAACAAACACACACAAAAGCAGGTTAACATTATCGTTTTCGAGTGGGTAAGTAAGAAAATGGTCAGTTATTTCCGGAAATGATATCCTTGCATGTTCTGTTTATTTTTGGCTTGTTTTCGGGAGGGAGGCCGAGGACTTAGCCATCATCCCATGAGAAAAAAGGTTATGTTGACCAGATATGCACGGCATACAGCATTACATTACCCTCCTGAAGCGCCGCCATTGTTCGGCCGCGCATTTTGTGACAATGCGCGATGTCCTATCCAGTCTATAATGAGATCAATATTCCACCAAAATGGTTGTGTTTCTGCGCGCGAGCTCATTAATATTTTGTGATCCCGTGGAATCTTTTACAATAAGACAGGCCATAATCAGGAGGGGCCATGGAAATATTTCTATAAATCCCGAATTTGGGACTGATAGTTTCCAGTTCTTGGTATTTATGTCACAAAAAGCCCCAAATTACGGGCCTATTTTGGAAAGAGGCGGGCGCTACATTCAGAACTGAGCGCTTATAGTTTTACTGCTGGGGGTGTATCTTTGGGAAAAGGCGAATAAAAACAAAATTGTGGCTAACCCCCATAAAATTTAGAAGAAAAGTGATCTTCTTGCCATACTCTTGAATTTTACGTGAAAAAAGGAGGCCAACCTCTTCACGAGGGTCAACAGGCGGCGCTATTTCGATCCAATTTTGCACCGTTTTCCATGGGCGAGTCTTTGGTGTCGTGCAACTTGTGAAGACAAGATGGCAGCGTCCATGTCAACAAACCCAAAGGGGTCCCCTGTTCTTTCTTGGTGCTGTTTATTTACGGGCAGAGAAAATGAGCAGTTTTGTCTTTGGACGTTGTCAAAACAGTAACGATTAGGGCCTATAGCCAATGATCGGCGGAATCATGTACACCCAGTGGCTCTTTGGAGGGGCTTATTGACTAATCTGTCCTATAATAACTGGAACATGGCCCATTTTTTTCCCAAAAAGGCACCCCCGGCCGACGCCGGGGAAACGAAAATTAAAAAGGTCCAATTAACGATTCCATCTGTTTGTACTCTTTCTGGTAGTTTCTCTTCTCTGTCCTGCAGTTTTTAAGAAGATGTTTGATTTTTCCGTTTATTTACTGAGTAAGATTGTCATTGCGCACAAAACACTGCCGCATTCAGTGCCAAGGCGACGAACAAACTGTATTATTCTTGTTAAAAAAAACAAAACAAGAAAGCGTATTCAATTTTTGGAATTGGTTTCTCTATTTTGGATAGATCTTCTTCGCTTTGATTTTACTGCGAAACCGACCCTCGAGATGACATTTAAAGGGTGCCAGTTGTGTTTCTGCGCGTGAGCTCATTAATATTTTGTGATCCCACGGGATTTCTACAATAAGACAGGCTATAATCAGGAGGCATCATAGAAGTATTTTTATACATCCCAAATTTGGGACTGATAGTTTCCAATTCGGGGTATTTATTTCACAAAAAGCCCCAATTGAAATTGCAGGCCTATTTTAGACAGAAGCGGGCGGCTACATTCAGAACTGAGCTCTTAGTTTTACTGCTATTTTGGGAGTATCTTCGTTGAAAGGCGAAAAACATTGGTGGCTAACCCCCGTAAAACTGAAACGAAAAGTGATATTCTGGCCATAGTATAATCTTGAATTGAAAAAAAATGAATTGAAAAAAAAAAAAAAAAAAAAAACGGAGGCCAACGTTTTCACGAGAGTCAACAGGCGGCGCTATTCCGGTCCGATTTCGCACTGGTTTGGGCCGGCTGGCCGGCGACGTATGAGTACAGTCCACTTATTCAAGCCCCATTGAAAACAGTGTAAAATCAGTACTGTTCAGGGCCCCATGAACGCCAACATCCCTGAGATTTCTGAAACACAGATGAAATTCTTGTCTGGTCACTAATCTTTCAATTTTTTGTGGCTAACCAATTACATTTTTAATTATTCCCACAAAACAAAATCACACCCCCCCAAAAAAAGATTTTTCGAAGTCTGATTGCAGCCATTTGAACTTTGTCGGGCACTTAGGACCCTTTTTCAACCGTAGTTTTTAGCCATTCTGCTCTCATATGAAAGCTCAAAGACCCAGGGAGTTGATCCTGGCAAGGATTTACACAATCTTACCATTTTGGGGGCCAAACAATCTCCTTTTTCAAAAGATACTGTGTGGGGGGAGACACTTTTAATGCTAATGAGCTGGCCAGAAATTCTTACTTGAGGGTGCAGTCCACTAATTCAAGTGAGAATTTCTGGCCAGCTCATTAGCATTAAGAGCCCCCCCCAGTATCTTTTGATAAAGGAGATTGTATGGCACCAAAAATGGTGATTGTGAAAATCTTTGCCAAAATCAACTCCCTGGGTCTTTGGGCTTTCATCTGAGAGCAGAATGGCTAAAAAAAATACTGTTGAAAAATAGTCTTAAGTGCCGAGAAGTTAAGCGTTGTCACTTGAAAAATGGCTGCAAGCAGACTTTGGAAAAATCACTTTTTGGGGGTAATTTTGTTTTGAGGGAATGACTCAAAATGTAACTGATTAACCCACAGAAAAGAGAGTAAAAGATTATGGACCATACAACAATCTAACGTGTGTTTCAGATACCTCAGGGATGTTGGTACGCATATTATTGGGCCCCGAACAATGTTGATTTTACACTGTTTTCAATGGGCCCTTGAATTAGTGGTCTGCATCCGTATGTGGTGCCGGGTGTTCAGCCCTCGGGCCCAGGCCGGTGTGACGTACACCCAATATTGACCTCATTACCAGTCCATGGCGCGCTTGTTGTAGCGCGCGCGCCGCGTGACAGTAGTTGGGTCAAAATCATCAAAAAACGCTGCAGCCGGTAAAGAGTTTCAGACCGGAAATTTGATAGAACAAAACATGGGATTTTCTGTGACAGAAACCCTCGGTATGATAACTCAGCAACGATTGATAGTTGCTGGTGCATTAGGCCTTGCTGCCACGGCTGGCATCGTCAGCAGCGCAGCCTGGTGGTACAGAAGGACTCCCAAACCGGTGTTCCAACCGATAGGCCAGTTGAGTGAGATTTGGATCCATCCAGTCAAGTCGTGCCGCGGTCATCAGGTGTCGAGTGCTGAGTGCACGCCGATGGGGCTTTGCAGCAAAGGTGTTTATGACAGGTACCACTACCACCTTCGTCAGCAGCTTTCAGTCATTACTTCTAACAACCAGCTATATCGCAGTAACCCCCTGAGGCCTGAAATCAAAATAGTTTCCACTCTTCTGAAGGTCTCCTTGTTATATTAGTTGAATCTTTTTTTACGTGGTTTTGTGAAAGTCTTATGCGTTTCATAGCTCAACATGTGCACTATCACAACAGCTACTAGCCCCAGTAGTGGTGTGGCACGGACTCTCACTCCCGATCCGAGGATGGATCGGGAGTGAGAGTCCGTGCCACACTAGTGGGGCTAAACAGCTACATGTACGTAAATTACCCCTCCTCTTGTACCAGTACCTAAATTCTGCATCTGGCTTAACCAGTTTGCTCTTAAAGAGGACTAGATGCCTGTATTCACTACTCATTATTGCAGTGTATGTGCTTCTAGGCTGGCCCCAGAAATCATGCATCTCTGGCCTACTACATCTGTGATGGTGCATGTTGCTGGTCAATGTAACACAGGCAGTAAATCAGTTTGATCTAAACGATCACTTTGGAACATGTAACGAATGCTTTCCTTATATATTACCCCTTTAATCATCTTTTACCTCAGGAATTTGACTTGGCAATTTATGAGTTTAAAAGTAAAACTGATACTAAAATCAGTGCTGAATGACTAAAAAATCTTAAATTCGATCCGTTCTTTTGTAATGCATGGATTGCAGGTAGTAGTGATCTTGATCCAGACATGAATCATAATACATGTACTTCGGATCATCTCTTGTCGGACCAATTTGTTGAAAAGCACCGATTGACAAGTTGTCAAAACACATTTTCATATTTTCATCAAAATGCTTGAAGTCTTACCAAAAATTTTGATCAAATAATGGACTTTATAAATACTCTCAACTTTTCATTCCAAGTGATTGGTGTCAGTGAAACTTGGTTTAATGATGGTACTCCGGATGTGAATTTAAAGGAATATTCATTAGTTAAGAAAAATAGACAAAGTAGGATTGGTGGCGGTGTTGCACTAGTGCACTCTATGTTTGTAATTCCTTAAACTTTTCTCTTTGTAATGATCTATCATCAATTTGCACTGTTTATTGAAATTTCCCACATTTAAGGTAAAAATATATTTGTTGGAATAATTTATAAATCTCTTTGTTCTAATATGAATGAATTTGTTGATCTTTTCAATGAAATTCTGGCCAATTTAAATAAGGAAGGCAAAACTTCATTCATCCTGGGCGATTTTAACATCGATTTATTGAATTATAACAATCCTAATCCAACTCAAAATTTCACCAACACTCTTTTTAGCAATTATTATTTACCGATGAAAGACAGACCTCATCTGACGTCTACCACTGCTACTCCAATAGATAATATATATCAAATGGCATGGGACACACAGAGAGTGATATCCTGTTAAATGACATTTCTGATCACTTACCTATTTGTCAAGTATCGTCCTTTAAATTAATGTTAGAGATATTGACAAACACAATGCATGCCGTTCATAGACATACTACACTGGTTTGGTGAGTTAATTTTGGATTTTTTTGCCCTGCCAGACGTGTATTACTCCGTGTATTCACAGATATGCACCAAGGCGCATATTTGAATGTGAGAGCAAACGATGGGCGTGATCGGAGAGGAGGTGGACAAAATTAATCCCAGTAATTTAAGAAAACGATCTGTAGACCTTGAGTGGCTATTAACCACATTGTCGGTGAAGCAACTCAATGCCGATCCCGATGGCAAGAAGTTTTACCATAAAATTGAGCATTTGCATACCCATGCCAATTCCTTTTTGCATATTTATACCATATTTTGCAGTGAACACTGTGTGACCTCCCTTCCATATGAGAGTAAATACAGGTATCTAGGCCAGCACCCGAGGGGTTGTCCGATGCAGGTACTTCCTCCCCTAACATGCTAGTTTATTTCCAGAAAGTTTCTTAACCCCAGCATTATCGCTGGAACGAAACTTTGAGAAGCAAGCTATTTGTTGTGTATAATATCTTTTAGGGGCCATTCAGAATTTTCAATTTTTTTTTTAATTTCGATTTTTTTTCCAAAGTTTGTTGAGCTAACCACCCACCCACCTACTAAGCCACCCCCATTTTTGATTTAAAAAAAGTGATGTTGTCATCCAGAATAAAAGCTCCTGGTCTATGGAAAGCCAAAGAGGCAAAAACTTGGAGGCAACACATCGATCGTTCTTCAGCATCGATCGATCGATCGTGCCCCTACATCGATTGATCGTTCTTCTGCATCGATCGATCATACTTCTACATCGATCGATTGTTCCCTACATCAATCGATCGATCTCTTTTGATTGATGAAGAAAGAGCGATGAAAAAAGAGAGATGACGAAAGACCGATAAAGAAAGACCGATGAAGCTACATCGATGTCAATGTTACATAACTTCTTCCAGCACCAAATAACATGTGTTCCCTGTAACCATAGCCCGTGTACCAGCACACAAGGCCACCGGTGTTCAGTACCCCATAAGTCTGGTCCCAAGCCAATTGGGTTGTCAGATGGGTGTTTATATCTAGTTTCCTTGTCGTGAAACCACTGAGAATATTTCCCCTGGATGGGATGCCAGTTCATTATGGGTTGCTCCCTAGCCACTGTGGGCGAACATATTTACTCTAGGTAGATACAAATTTTATTATCCACACTGATAACATCCTGGCAAAACCGGCAGAGCCGGCTGAACCAGTGGAACTATTCTGTCATTCATTGACCTACTTATCTAGCTATGCACTTCCATAACACTGATGAACACACTATTCCCTTCTAATTTGTCAACTTGTTTCAATACGACCCTTTCCTATGATTCATTCCTGATCCCCTGAGACCCCAAGCTAACACCGATGAGGTCGAAAATAACAAATAAAACAGGCATATTGTTAAGCGTAAACAAAGAGAGCGTTTAATCTCGGCCGTCTTGTCGATCCTAAAGACTAGCGCCCGGATGTTTAGAGAAAACAAAAGATTAATTCGTAGCATTTGGACTACAACCGCGTATACAATCTCTGGACATCATCGTTTGACCGATGAGTAAGAGGATTAAAATGAATCTACAAAGAAACTTCAGAAGTTTTGTTACCTGGTATTCTTACAAATGAAAAAAAAGAAAAACGTGAACATTTCTTTGGTACTCTGTAAGCATTAACTAAGATAAAGATGAACTTGCGCCAGATAACGTCGATGAGGCCTATGGGAATTTCTTAAATTGTGTATGACAAAAATTGTCCACAGTGTGAGCTCCGAAGTCATATTAATAAGTCAAAACCACCTTGGATAACGGAAGGAATCTATAACTCAATCAGAGAAAAAAAAATCTGCATAAAAATATCTTCAGAATCCTGCAGTTCATAATAAATCTGCCAACACAAAGTTTAAAAACAAATTAACATGTGTTATAAGAATGGCAAAGAAAATTACAGTATTACATGAAATTGCATGCATGTACATGTATACTTACACATGTAAAGTAATGAATGAAGTAATGTATGGATGAATGTGTCTGCACATGTGTCCTGTCCGTACATGCACATGTATGTTGTACCATAGTTGTACATACTGCATCATGAAGTTCAGTTCGGTTGTATACCGTACATGTAGTTCAGGCAAGTCAAAGGATCTTTTTTGTTGTTTATTGTCTTTTAAATCAAGAGTGAATTTTGATTTAAAGTTATTTTTCTTGATCCTCCCACCCACTATTTCGGAAAAAAAAATCAAAATTTAAAAACATTAAAAATGTTTGAATGGCCCCTTACCATGCAAGCTAAGGTAAAGATGCTTTGACTGAGGTATCTTGACTTGGTGAAGCTGTAGTCTGAGTATCCATGAAGGTACAGGTGCCGGTAGGTTACCCCGTTGGAGTAACTTGGACTCTGCGAACAAAGACGAATCGCGTTTTTAACATTTGGACAAGGTCGGATGATATATACAGGTAGTAGCCCAACCATGACCAAATGTTATGGCAGTTGGTAGAGTCCAAGTTACTCGGACTAGGGAAGCTGGTTTTTAAAATAAGTTTATCACAAGTGTTTTCTAAGTGAATGCGTTGCAATTTTCTAAGCTAACTTTCACTTTTCAGGACATGCAATCACTTTCTGAAGGCTGCTGACAGCATTTTAAGGGAAAATTACTGTTGTCCATATATGGAACTCTTCCATCACAGAATTTATTACATTTATAATGTGCTGGTGTTGTGGGATGTGGTGCGTTTGTTTATTGGTAAGTGTGCAGTGTTCTGGATTGCACCACGACCCATATGCATGAGACTATGATAAACGTGTTCTTGGTTATAAGTCCAAAGTTACAGTTCTCAAGCTTGTATTTGTAGCTTCTTATATGTCTTGTGCTGCTTAACAATATTTAATTCAATTTAAATATATTACATATTTGACTAGAAATGGAACTAAACAAAGCAGACGGGGACAAAAAAACTAGGACTTCATTTTCACTCTGCAGGTTCTTTGTGATTCTGGATGACGCAAACAGAGTAGTTACCATGAGGACAGAGCCCTCACTGGCGCTGGTGAAACCTTGGATATCAGAGGACGGAGTATGCTTAGTTTTCGATGCACCTGGAATGGACCCGCTGAGCATTCATCTGGCTGATCTCGCAGAGGCCAAGAAACAACCCACTGAATTTAGGCAAGAACCTGACAATGTTGCAGTCGACATCATGACGGGACAAAATGGATTTATCCGTATTGGACCATCACAAGTTTCGAGTGCTGTAAAAACCAACCAGTTGAAAGACAGGGTGCCTGCATGCTTGTTTAGGTTTCAGTGAGGACAAAACTTTAGGACCCAGGGAGAAGAGGTTTGAAAAGCTAACCGTGCATGCTCATAACACTGGAAACTTGAACTGGTCTAATGTGGAAATTTTTACAGACCACAAGGAATTTCTAAAGGTGTATAGGTCTCCACAAGGATTTCACGAAACTGATATTTGGAAATTGCTCAAAACGGAGAAATTGTTTAATGTGTAAGAATCTGTCGCCAATTGAATTTTTTCATATCAGGGACATTCGGTCGAAATTTCATTCCAGGAGAGAGTGATTCATGTTGAAATGGGACCATTTTGAAAACATCGTTTGACACATGACCGATTTGGTACTGGAGAACAAAGCCATGTCTCCACAAGGATACAAATTTCGGAATGTGTGAATTTAATGAGTGCAGACTAGGCTACGGAAAATGTGTCGCAGTAATGTGTTTGAAAGTTTAAATGGACACGGCTACTGAAACTTGACCCTTAAATTACATTGCAGGATCCTAGCCAGTTTGTTGCTGTGCTTGGGAATATGGGATCTTTGCCAACTGAATGGCAAATCCAGTCGTTATCAAGATCAAATCCATTTACATTTCAATTTTCATTACATTTCTTGCCCTCCAACACTAATTTTCTTCCAACTCTGATGCAACATTACAGCTCCTGTGTGATATACACAACACCCTTGAAAATGCAGCCTTGTGTTTAACTACCCTGATTTTCAATTTATATGCTATTCTGACTGATAGTTTAACTACATGCTGCCGGGTGCTTTTAAAAATGCAGTGCATACATACGGGTGATTTTCATCATTTCATTTAATGGATGTTTACATCCACACGAATGACTCTTTGGTGGCTACTCTAAGCTGACAGGTCACCTTCATCGATTCCTGAATATTTCAGCCAACCCTGCCGCCCTGTAAAGAGAGCCCAGGATTGTGAGGTGTTGCTTGATTTCCTTTGTCCCCAGTGAATGCGAGTAGAAGCCCATGGTGCTCGAAACGGGGTTCCCTGGCAGCAAGTGGTTATGCCCCACTTAAGCCATTAAGCTCCACCTATTGTTTTCTTCCCAATCACAGCCGTAATTTATGTCCAACATAAGTGTACAAAACTCAGACATGCTTGCATGTACGTATGATGCACACCTCTGGAACACGTCGTAGTGTGGCGTCGGAGAAGAACATGTGCCAAGGGCCCATGTGCACAGTGGGCGGGGCTTACTGGATCGGCCTGTTGTCATACATTGAGGAACATAAAATTGCACCGAAAATGCGTCTAAGAAAATAGAGTGCTTTGACCCTTTAAATTTGAGTACAGTGATAATTCCAACTGGGCGTGCACGTAATTTCTAATTTTGAATTTATATATCATCACCAACAGAATCTTCGGACTGCACACAGAGGGTGTGGAATGTAGCCAAAAGGCTGCAACCTGGCTTAGCACCTACCTCAAGAAGCCCGGCCTCAAGCTGGTCTACTTCAATGAAGGCCTGACCAAACCAAGGATACCCAGAAAGGATGTAACTTGGGGACATAAATTCACTGCAGAGGAAAAAGTGGTGAGGAGTGAAAGCCCGTGGCAAAGTCTTGTTCTGTAGCTTGGAGTGTAATAGGTTTATTTTTTTCAATCTGAATTCCAGTTGATTTGTGCAGACCTGCCAACTAGTACGATTTTGGCGTAATTTGTATGAAAAATTGATGAAAATATGACCGTATGCTTTTATCACCATAAAATACAAATTTCAATAACTTTGACACAGACAGAAAAAAAGAGGGCGCTATGTGAAATCTAAGCTAAAATAGCTGAAGCGGCTGCGAGCAAGACTAAGCCTCATGTCATGCCGTTCAGTATGGTGAACTCGTAAAGTAAAGCGTTCGTGATTGGTGTACCTGATGTACACATGCCCCTGGTAGCGCACGTATCAATCATTTGGAACGTCGCATACCAAACCGATCGGCATGCATTGTGGAGTGTACGTTCCTCTGCGTGCAAAAATTTTCCCGACGTAATCGTAAAACTGCTTGAGTGAAGATGGCTTCAACGTCTAAAAAGACACCCAAAAATGGAAGCAATCTTTCAAAAGGGAATTTACGGAGAAATTTGAATTCATATTACCTTCCCAGAGAGGTGAACATTACGCTTGCTGCACTCAGTATCACACATAGTGGGAGTTATGATGTATCTCGCCACAGTAAACACCGTGACATCGCTGAAACGAAGAATGCGACCCACAGCACTGCAGTCCTGCAGACTCTCTCACAAACAAAATATAGTCGACTCTCGTTATTACGAAATTGGCTACAACAAAATCATGGCTATAACAAACACAAGTCTGTGGTCCCTATGGGGAAAAAATCTGTTACAGCGAAAATCGCATTGTACGAAATTCCTGGTACAACAAATGGTTTTCGTGACCCCTGTGACCAGTCGACTTTTCTAGTCACCTGGTCCCTCTACTTTTTCAACACTCCTTATTCACTTTCAGACTACAGAATTCTTCTTTCTATACATGTACCTTGTACCTCAAGAACAGACTTCCACTATTTAACATGATTAGATGCAACCTTGTGCTGTAGAGTGCTCTCTCTTCAGCCTTCCCTTTACACACCTGGTAAAAATAGCTACATGTATCAACAATACTGTGTGGTGCACTCTGTGACTTTCTTGTATTGAGTAGCGCATTTGCATATCCACAGAGCCATACATGTGCAGGCCAGCATCTGACAATAGTGATCTGAACAGAGTACTGTTTCTGCCCTGCATTTGTTCATTGGTATGAAAAGCTTTTGTGATCCACCCCACCCTGTGGAGTGGGCAGAAACATAGTAATCAAATGACTCTGCTTCAGAGCCTCATCGCCTCATCGCTCTCTGCTGCTGTGCTGCTGCTGTACATTGTTACATTGTATGAAACATAGCTACATGTATATCTATTTGCCTTGGTGCATACAGCGTTAGTGATTGACACGGGTCGAGGGACGCTGCATGCAATCTTTGAGTTCCTCACACCTAAAGTGTAGCAGTGCTCTACGTACTGCTAGCTATACGCTGTTGGTCGAGATCATTGACTGTCGGTTTTTTATTTGTATAAATATAAATTCTCTCACGCTTGTACAAGGCATTGTACAAATTGTAAATAAAATATTGAATGTAGTATTCATGCCGCCACATTCCCCGTTGTCTTTATTTATTACTTTTAACTGAGTCCTTATACCACTCGGTTACACTCCGTTGCCCGAAAAACCATTGCTGACGAACCATTTATAACAAAAGTTTGTAAATCACGGTGGTGAAAACACATGCACAATCCATCACACTAATTCCGTTGCCAAAGAAGGCATGAGGGAAAGCGGCAACCAGTGAATGTACGGTTGCTGCCAAAAAGGGTTGCGAGCGTTCCACTACATGTACATCGTATACAAATGCAGCTCTACATTTGCAAGTCGAAAAAATACTGCCGTCACCAATTTTTTGTAGATTCTTCACAAAAATTGATCTCATGTCTATGTTTGTGTTTTCTGTGTTCATGTATTTCATTTGAAGATGTACTGCTCGCACTCGAAACGAGCATGTTTCCACAAAATTTCTAGCTGCAGCACAANGACTAATCGCCCGCCCCTCCAGATGCGTCATGCACGCTTAAAACACGATACACAGACATTGTTTACCAGTTTCCTGTAGTCATGACAAGCGTGACGCAGGATTCAAAAATCAATTATTTTTTACATTGATTACACAAACATCAAAACGAAAATTCCCTTCCCAATTCTGATAAAAATGTGGCAAAATTAGTTTGCTTGAGTACCCTCACATCTCATGAGCCCAACTTATCGCCCAACACTGAATTATTCATATTGCTACAAAAATATCTAGCGTACTGGCCAATGAGACTGTGCATTTTCATGATGTACACTTTGCGAGGCACAGCTATCCAATCGCAATAGTCCTTCATGACATCATGCTCCTTAAGCCACCATCATGCAGGCCACACAGGCCTACATGTGCATGCGGTTTAGCTTCGTTGTCATCCATGGCAATTGAAAGCCTTTTAAAAATCCCTGGATCGATGCTTTCACATGTATTTGCTTTTTGTAATCTCACATGCACATCAAACATGTTTTCATATGACAGTGAATTTTATTAATCTAAGCACATCACAATATATGTAATTAATTATAACCGAGAGATCTTTTTGATATAACATCAACCAGGCGTTCACATGTATGCACATACATGTACACCCATACACGTGCATATGCATGTACATGGTATTGTACAACAATGCACCGAAGCCATTGCACTGTGTTCCGCCGACAACGAATTTCGGATACAACAAACGTTTCTACGTGGTCCCGCGGATTTCATAATAACGAGAGTCGACTGTATACGCCCAAGCCACAGCCAGACCATGGCAGCAACGCGCACACCAAAATGAACTGTTGTGTAAATGCAAGAAAGCAACTGCCGTGAGCAACACCAGGAAATTATAAGGTCCATTTAAGCCTGCACGAGTAAAGTATTAAAGTTCAAATAGTATGTAGTCAGGCAAAGGTATTTGTAAGCTTGTCTTTCCTGTTTGGGAAAATACACATTTTGAACCTCCGAATACACTTTTGTGATTCTAAAGGTTGGCAGGTCTGTTTTGTATGTCTGGGGTTAAAATCTAGGGCGTGCTCAATAGTGAATACGTATGGCAGTTTTGGCATATTCAGTACGTCTTTATTAATAGTACACATGCCTATACAGAGTGTTGTGATATTGAGCGCCTCCCTGCAAAGCCTATTAACCCTAACACTCCCAAGTCTTCCAATTTCAATACGATTTTACTTACACCCTTGGGGGTTAGGGTTAAGTGACCCCCTTTTTTGTAGTGTCCGAGGGCCAGCAAAATTCATCCCTTTAATATAGTGTAGAGGATCACGAGACCCATTTGACAATACAGTCAAACACAGATTAAGAAGAGCTCTGACAATACTAAGTCATGTTTATAACAAGGAAAATGTTAGGTCCCAAGTCTTTGTTTTCTAGAACTGATAAGGGCACCCTCTTTAAATTCTATGGTTCTCCTTTCCGACCAAACCTATTTTGGCTCCCGGCTTGTTTTTTTCCGACCCTGCTAAGAGGGCCTTGCTTAGAAAAAGAAAGGAGGGTGTGATGACCTGTACAAAACCAGCGCTGAAAATGTACATGTGTGATATGACGTTGCCCAAACATCAACACAGTTGAAATCTATAGTTATGGCCTCAATACCAAACTGAGTGGTACTGTACTACATCCAATGGACCACATACAAGCATGTGTGGAGCGCCATAGAATTTATTTAGGAAAAATTTTTGTTGACTGATCAACCTTCCCACAATTGGAAAAAAGATATGAGAACCACAAAAAAAAAGGATGCCCAAATACAAGGTACCTGTTATAACAAGGTACTTTGTAAGGTCGAAAGGACTTTGTAGCAACAGTGTTCCATTGTAAACATCCCCCACGATACGGATTAAACCTGTACCTCACAATTGATAAAACATGAGCCACATACATATACTTAAAACGGAATGGTTTGGGCTAACTTATTGGAAAGATTTTCCGTTGCTGCTACCTTCAATGTTTTTTTTTTCTGCAGTAGCACTTAACATGTATGTTACTTCTTTTAAGATTTTAACCCCAACAGATTTAAACTCCATAAAAATGTTAATCTTCCTTTTCTTCCCATATCTGTCAGTTCAGCCCTCTTTCTTACAAATTGCAAGTTGTCTAAATTTCTCTTTTTTTCTCCCATACGGGTGCGACATTCATTGTTACCTTCAGAGGGGGTATTCGGACTTTGCTTCTTTCATGCTTCTGACTGAATCCTCTCTGGATGATCTCAACTCTCACCTTGATAAACCTATCACCGTGAGGAATGTACGACCAAGTTTTGTGGTGTCAGGATCCAGTGCCTTTCAAGAGGTTTGTTCAGTGAATAACTTCTGTGGAAGAGTTGTTGAGTCCGAGCAGAAACAATAAGAGGGTGTGCAAAGATGATCCTTTGGTGGGAAATCGCACACAGGCTTGTTTTTTATGGGACATGCTGAGCAGGTGTGATCTGTTTCTTAGAATGTACCGTCGACTGTTGTTATAAAGAACACTTTTATGTAGATGTGTACAGGGTGCATGCGTGAGCTCGGCTCAAAAACGTCCCACTGCCTGTCTCCTCTTTGCTGGTGAAGGTGCGTGTCAACTCGAGGCGTTACATACTCCTGGATGAAATCGATAGTCTCACTTGAACAGTTCAGAATAAACTGAATTGCGTACTTACAAAAAAGGATCAGTTTTGAGTTTTTCCTTTAATCAACAAGAAGAAATAGAAAAGTTAGACAATTTTGTACACAATATTCAGCTTTTATTGTTTTTGTTTGAGTTCTAAAGCAAACAGGTTTACATCAGTGTTTTGCTTTTCGGTATTGTCATATAGGACTCTTGGAAATACATCAAGATTGGGGACACTGTGACCATGCGGAGAACTCATGGTTGTGGAAGGTGAGACGACACAACTTTTTTGCGTTTTAGGGTTGGCACAGAGATCTTTGATATTGGAATTTGTGTTTTGTGCTGCTTTGTTCTGTATGGTAACTGTTGCTTTTACAATGTACATGTATGTATAATGTACAAAGACAACTTTAAAGCCTAGACATGACATTTATGTACAGTGCATTTTTACGTTGTGAGATTCTTTGAGCAATATACATTGTAGGTTACCTGACGTGATCTGTGCCACTATGTCATACATACGCAAATGTTCTGTAGCTCGTTACTAATATGCCGTAATGTTTGGACACAGCTTAGCCTAGAGTACGTTTGCACGACTATTTTTCCACTACTGGTCAATTTGCTGGGTACCAAGGATATAATTTGTGTACAGGTCATCAGGCAAAATTGTGGCCAGTGGTCAACAAATGGTCATTGCTCCTTGGAACTTACCCGCACTTACGCCCTCAGCAGTAGAAATGCATAAATTAATGATAAAATTCTCCAGTTCCATTTCAATAATGAGACAGTGTGCAAGTGCACCCCTCTCACAGGAGGATGTAGGTGTTTTTTGCACATTCAGCTGAAAACTTGTACCTTGGGCATTTCAAAACGTGCAAACCAGAGTGCCAACATGTGGGGCACATTTCCATGGCTCCTGTGAGTAGGCCAGTTCTTGCACACAAAGTTTAATTTTGTGCATTAGTAAATGCAGTGAGTGATACACGATGCTTAGCCTTTTGGCTTTGATGATGAGCTTGCTGAAATGTATTTCACTGAAATCCACGTCCAGTTCAGTGCGGTATCTCCAGAAAGAAAAAAAAAAAGGGACGCTGGAACTTTTTTGGTGTGAAAATTGTGCACTGTGTATTGTGTGAGACAATATCGGCTGTCGAATGTGTCAAGTAACGGAAACTTTGGCCGAGTGTACATATGATGCGTGCCCAAAATTGTAATATGATTAAAACTGCCACTAGATGGCACCAGGCAGTTCTGCCAACTAAAACGTTCGGCTTGATTTTGTCGTTTGCCTGATCATTATCGTGGCCTTTCACATGTGGTTACCCAATATGCTTTTGCATGGAATGTGGTTGTGCAGGTGCAAATTGACGACGGTCGATCCCGAGACTGGTGTGATCAGAAGTGACGGGGAACCTCTTGCAACTCTCAAAAAGTGAGCCTGATAACGGTCCTGTGTTTTCTTTTTTCATAGCAAGGTTTATTACAAAAAAAGGGAGGTGGAGGGGGGGTCATTATTCTTTACCTTCTTTGATCTTTCAAAGTACACCAGGGGGGTTGAGGAAGGTAGAGCTCAGTGAACAGGTTGTCTTAATAATAATACTTTTTTTTGCGCTGTTAAATTTACACTATACAAAGTCAAACCTCATTAATAAGAGCACTGTTCATACAAGATTCTGCTAATAACAAGGAAAAAATTTCGGTCCCAATCCTTTGTTTTTTGTTTTTTCATCCCTGATAATGCAAGGTTCCTGCTGTGACCAGGTAATTGCCAAGTCTGAAGGACCTCTTATTAATGAGGTTCAACTGCAGTACTGAAGTGAATATGTCACGCGTGAAATTATGTGTGTAAAAGGCATTAGTGTGAAAGCCAGTGCGTGAACCAACACATGCACATACTCAGTTCGCTTGTATGTCATTTACTACTTGTACATGATGTCACACTTTGGGACTCTATGTACATCTCCTCAACTGATCGTCACAAAACCCACAACTTGCTGAGACTTCCATGAAAAGATATGTTTTTAACAAAGTTTTAAGTACCTGTACATCAGAAGATTTTGCATTTCTTACGTTAAACGGAAATTTATTCCAAAGCCAAGGAACAGCACAAACAAATGAATGATCTTCCATCAGTCGCATACATGTACATGCAGTGTGATGGAAGCAGTAGTCTAGTTCTCGGACCAATAAACACCAACACGGTGGGCTGCTTGACCAGGTACTGTCTAATGTGCTGGTATCTCCAATGCTGTGTACGAACACGTAAAGCAGACGCCAGGTACTGTACTTCGGACATTGTGTGTGATCTTAACAGGTGTGTAGTATGCATGTAATGTGCCTGCATAAAGTGTACACAGATACCTCGGTGCGGAGCATGGCCGGCTGGTTGGTTGTGTGGTCTACGAGGTATATTTGCGTATATATTCAAGGTTCAGAAAGCAGCTATTTATACTAGTGCAGCTTGTTTTTATTAAGAATGAAGAACAAAACTTTCTATCTTTCTATCTTTTCTATCTTAACATTTACAATAAAATCCATAAGTTTCAGCGACCGCACAGAGTGTAGTGTGGCAAAACGATTTTATGCTCTCCACCACAATGGGGAGCTAGCGTGACCAAACAAGCCTGTGCTGTGTTCATAAGACACACACTCGGTGGTAATGCGTGATGTGCACTGCTTGTACGGGCACTCAGTGCCGGGCGCAAACACACAGACTAATGCAGTGTGCTTTATAAGATCGTAAATACTAATCAATAACCAATGCGTGTGTAATTTCACTACAATATTTACAGTTTCAGCTGTAGTTGTTTCAGTTATGAAAATTTTGCCCAAAAAATCCGCCTGCCATTTTTATGTTCTGTATTGCAAAATTCTACGTGTCCTTTTTTTATTGTCCATTTTGCAAAGTGCAAAATCACACACAGCCGTCCAAAGACGGATTTGGACCAGTCACTGGAAGACCCTTTTGGCAAATACGTGTACTCAAAAGGTTGCTTGCCAAGGTACATGTTGTTCAAGTTAATAGATACTTGCTGTGAAATATGTTGTATTGTGTAACCCTGTAATCTATGATTCTTATCTTGATGGCTGTTTTACCCTTTCTTCCATTTGGCCTGTTGTGCAGACCCGCCCCCCAAAATCTCATCCATTCAACCTTCAATTTTGAGGTGGTTTTCATGTTTACAGAATTTGCATGGGTTTTCTGCCGCAGATATCGAGTGTTAGACAAGTCAGACCCTGACAGCAAGTCCTACAAAGGCTCTCCGGTGTTTGGATCTTATCTGGTGTGCGATGTGTCCGGTACCATCAAAGTCGGAGACACCGTGTACGCAGCAGTGTAAAAACAGCTGCCCTGCCACAACATTTCCAGGTGATTACATTTAAGACCGCACAGTCACTGTCTACGCGAATCTGTTCTGCCCTCTTTAAATGCACAGGTTCAAGGGAGCAATAGCTATAATTATCTCCAGAACCTTCAACTGAAGAATAAAGAACAGCATGGCTGAAAGTCAGGGCCTCGGTTTCCATACCAACTTTATTCCACGGTGAACTGTAAAGAAGAAATATATAAAGCCTTATTTATAACAACACTTGTAAAGTTTGGTAGTACAAGTATAAGCAATGAGGATTATCTCCAAATCGCACCTTCCAAGACAAACATGCTTCAACTACAAACGCTGTATGCTAAACAAGCTAGATCCTTAAAAACAGGGTTTGTTCCACTGTAAACCATGAGTTTTGGGGCCCAAGAACAAAAAACAGGAATTGCTCATGTTTCACTTACATGTAACTTGAAAAGCACAGAGACCTACAAGTAGTAGTAATTACAGACAGTTAAAGCAGAAATAGAGAAAGCCTATCCAGTATGAGACAGTCGAGCTGTCAGTCTGACTTGCCACAAGTCCAAAACCATTCTCAACTTATATGATTTTGACTGCGGGGTTAATCAATTATTCTGTTTATATTGATGTGAAGATTCAAAAAGGAAAAACTGGTGAAGTTTATGCAGAAGTTGGGAATTTGGGCCATTTGCCAAAATGACCACATGACTCGGACAAGAGTGCCATGTCTACGTGCTTTGAGAGTTCACTCTGGAAGTCTGTCTAGAAAGAAATAAACTTGATTGGCATGTGAGCTGCAAATGGCACCCTCTAAACAGTTCGTAGGTCAGCGAACTGGCCCATTGTTTCCTGGTTTTTATCCAGTCTGTGCACGCCTGAAACGTTTGCCTCCTCATTTAGGCCTTTGTCAGTGGCACCTTTTATTCTCTTAGCTTAGCTTGGCAATTGTGCCCTCTGGATCCCTAGCAATTTTTTTATCAGTTGAGTCCACAAAGCAGGTCAGAGAGTGAGGGATCAACAGCTAATCTCTGAAAAGAAACTCTGATAATGCCTAGTAACAGTCGTGTTTAAAGGGCTGGGGGGATAGACCTATGCCCCGGGTCACATTTGGAGGTTTTTCATGCCGTTGAAACAGACTTCCTGTCATCAAGACTTTCTATCATCAAACACAAAAAAATGTGTGGTTCTGATTTTTGTATGTAAATACATGTACCTCCTTTCATTGATTATACAATGTATATATATATTTTTCAGAGTCATATTTTTAGGGTTTAGTTTTTGAAATTCCCAGTTTCAAATTGGTAATGACATCTTTTTCATATTTTGGAAATATTACAGTTGTTGGTATTTTCCTCATGAAGCTGTTCATGCATTGTTGTAAACCATGACAGAATGAACAAATTTCTTCATTTTTAAAAAGCAAAGAATAGCATGAAATAGTGGAAATTCACAAGAGCACAAAACTGGTTGAAACGTCAAGTTCACACTCGTTGGTTGTTATCAGAACCACCACTCTTATAGAAGAGATGGATTCATTACGATGTACCCGCAAGCCATCTGTCTGCAAAATCTCCACCATGCAAGGCTTCATATCTTATTTACCGGTAATTTTGCACTCAGGTAGTTTTGTCTGAGATCCTGAATCTCTTCAAGAATCAGCACCAGGCTGTAAGCCTTATGTGCAAGGAAGCCATTCTCAATCATGTTCCTGGGATTCTTTTTGTTCAAAGTAATCTGTGGGTTGGTGCCAGACTGTTCTGCAGTCTGGTCCAAGTCCCACTTTCAATTTTGTTATGCATTACCATGAACAGTACAGATATCAATTTGTAATGAACTTTTAATATCTTATTACTTTTGTTTCAGGTTTCTGAAATGAAAAGTCAGCCACACTCTGGATTCAATATGGCCGACTTATTAATAAATGCTGTTGTCAACATGCCCCTCTCCCTTGTGAACTACATTGTTACAGTGAATGGGCTGTTCAGTGCCATTTCCATCAAAAGACTACAAATTCAGTTGTTGGAATATGATGGCTTAATGATTAATCAGTCATTAAAAGACTCATGCAAATATAATTTTGTTTTTAATTTAGTTGTTGTAACTGCTTCTTCGTGTCCTGTTTAACCTCTGTTTTTGTTTACTTTTATGCCACTGAATATCTGCATATGTATGAGCAAAAGTGTAATGTCATCCAGGGTGACAGCTATGGCTACTCTAAAGTTGGGTCTGACCATTGGTATCTGGCTGTTGTGAAGTTTGTTTATTTTGGTTTTTATATTGGTGATATGTTGTTTCATTTCATGACAATAGGCTTGTGAGCAAAGTTTTCTCGCAAATATTTCCAGTGAGCCAGTGTTGAGCTAACGTTTCTAACTGCATCAATTTCCCAAATGTCTCCCAAATATGTACTGAGGCAGTAATGCATTGGGTTGTTTTTAACCTAGTTCAAATTTTATGACTCCTGAAAATTACACGAAGAAAAGTGTCATTTAGAGAAAGAAAATTTGGTTTAAGTTATGTCTGTGTGCCTTAAAGCTCAAAGTAAAAATATGAAATAGGAAACTCACAATAAACGTGGCCCTGTTAATCTGCTTATTTCAAATTCAA